GTTTTTATTCAGTCCTTGCAAAGTTATGCATTTTTTTCTTGCGTCACACTTTATGTGGACCAACCTGCAAGTAGAACGCATTCGACGCATGTTGTAAAGGTCAACAAAATTTTTCAGATTCCTTTACGACTAATGAATAAAGAGGGAATTTCGGTCTAATATCGTTGCGAAATTGAGAGAAAGCCGAAATATAACGAAAACATTTGAAAAGATAAGATAAAATTTCTTATTGTTTTTAATAGGAGGTAAAAGAGCAGATTTTGGTCTTTTATCGTCCGGGTTAAGCAATAACTCAGGACAAGAACGGATAAAAATAGTGAGAAAGCTTCAAAGGTGAAAGAGGATTTAGTGCAACTATGCGAAAACCTCTTTTCATAAACTGCCTGGCACCAGCTGTGAATTTGATTGAGTTTTTGCTCTAATCGATTTTGCCTTGTGCCTTAGCTAATTTAGATTGTCAAGCGAGTGAACTTTGATAATGGTAAGACGGATAAAGCCTTTGCAATATACTTTTTCGTCTTTCTCCAGCTGATAAATTCTGAAAATCACGTTTTCGTGTTATCGTGTTATGTTTGTATTCAAACTTCGTGGAACATCAAATAAAGTTATCATTCGATATACTTCATTCCGCTTTTTTGACTGCTGTTTTTTGTGAAATATGCACATCCGCAGACAAAGTTGCCGCTTTTGACAATTGTACAAGGTGCTCACTTTGTGGAGTCTTTTTATCTCAAGGAGGTTAGCGCTCAATTATCTGTGACATTTGATTTTAATGATAATTGTGGCATCCAGACACCCGGCCTAGGTTTTTTTGTCACACTATTAATCTTGAACCGAAACCATGGGATGTACGAATCACCATATCTCGTGTGTCGGTTTTAACAGAGAGATGCTTAGTCGAAAGCACCAATCAGATGAGACATATATCGTCTTAAATCGCTCGAAACGCTGATTCCAAATCTGTAGTTTCTAGCAGCGAAGCGGTTTTGTAGAAGGAATTATGAAGTGTGTCTCCTTCTGGAGTTGCGGCGTCCTCTAGCAGGTCTCCTCTTATCTATGAGCACTGTAGAGATGTACCAAATACTAGTGGCAACTGGCCTAATGGTAAGTGACTTGCTTGGTAAGTAGAGTGTCAAGGTTTAATCCGTTTCGCATGCAACTTTGTCGCAATTTTTGCAAAAGTGAGCTTCTAAGTGGTTTAGAGCCTAAAGCCTGAAATTTCTGATGATATTGACGGTAATCGAAGTTAGAAGTGTTAAAAAAACCAAAGTATTATAATCCTTATAATCCTCATTCAAATTACTTACCACTAGGCCAGTTGCCACTAGTTAGTGTTTCTCTACAGTGTTAACAGATAAGGGGATCCTGCTGGAGGGCACCTAAGCTCCGAAGGGAAACATTCCTCATAACTCCTTGTATTGAACCGCTCCACTGCTAGAAACTACAGGTTTGGAATCCGCGTTTCAAGCGCTTCAAAATGATGTATGTCTCATCTGGATTGGTACTTTCGACTAAGTATCGTCCTGTAAGATGTGTAGTTCGTTCCTCACCACTGTATTAGCAGATACACTGTTCACTGTTCTGTATTAACTTTCTCTATCTCATCATATAGCTACTCATATTCTCTAATCTGTATTCGCATATAAACTTCTTCTTGTGGCTCATTTTGTGATGAACCATTTATATTTTTACCGTTATGCCACTAAGTCAGTGGAACCTGCGGTATGGACCGCCCTACTGTATCTCGTCACCGCCACTTTATTGAAAATCGACAACTTTTGATTTCTGAGTATCAAATATTAGGCTAGTGCAAAAATAATGGGCCTATCCCACCAAGACACAAAATATAGAAATATGCGTTTGGGATTATTCGATAGAATGAAGCAATTGCACAAAATGACTACCAAAGATTTACCTAAATCTTTAGTTTACATAAAATTTGAAGCCAGTCTGTAAACACTTGACTACGCTTGATTCAGATCTTTAGCTAGAAAATTCCTAGGAGCCTCCCAGTTGGTCTTCTAGCAGATATATAGTAACGCAGATACATAGCAACAAAAAGTTGCTGTAATTTTCTCGCGCTTAGAATCTCAGAAAGAAACGATAAACGATAGTTGGCAAACTTCGCCTCTACCAGTGCAAATTCTCTCCAACGTCGTTACCGTGTACTACAAGCCTTCAAAAGCATGACTGTAAGATAAGAGCTCAATATTTGCTTTACTTTTCAAGAAAAATTAACTTAATATCATGAACCTGTAAGCTACGAACATTATTTTTGCGCCAGCTCAATACGATTACGAACTGCGGGATCACCTCAGAACTCACCATTTCTAGAAAGTTATTCTAGTACCCCTAAAAGCTGACTGAAAAATCGCGAAGGTGTAACGCAGCGCAAAAGCTATGCCTTATTGACTGGTTTTGTAGCATCTTCGAAATTGCAAAGAAATAATTTTAAAAGCTGGTTAAGAGTGAAGCTCAAAAGGGCGAGTAAAAATTGAGATGTATGAGTGCTTCTTGTGTTAGTTACTCTGAGAGCATAGCCGTTAGAAAGAGGAAAAAATGCTGCATCAAACACTATCTGAAACGGCTGTCTGCCTCCAGTTGCGAGATTCGTGGACGGGTTTGAGAACAGGTACAAACTTACAGAGCTACTCGTATTACTATTAGGTTGTAAAGAAAGTTCCTGGGCACTTTGGAACTTTAATTTTCAAACGCATTTTTTCGGCACTCGGTCGGACTTTGACACCAAGTTTCTCATACTGTTCAATAGAGGGAAGTTTGAAGTTTTACATTTTCTGATTTTATCGATGCCAAGACGTGTTTGATCTGCATATCAAGAACGAAAATCTTTCCAACCATAAGAATTTCACAATTTTTCTTCCCAGGGCCATTTTTTGTGCAATTCAAGGAATTCGGAATCCAAATCAAGGGTGACCTGATTGAAAAGCCTGCGAACTTATGACCCGCAGCTGCACTCGAGTTTTACGATTTGCGCTCAGAATTTACAAGCTGACAAACTTGCCTCTGACTACAACTCTTTTCGCAGCTGGCGTCGCTTCTGCGTGTATCGCCACACCTAGATGATGGGTCCAAAAGATTTGTAAGGCATTACCCCAACAATGTTCGCAGTAATCAAAGATTTGATTCACCCTATGCAAAACAACAGGACTTCAAATTCACTTACTCGAAAAATGGTGCATTTTTAAGGGCAAAAAATGATCGATTTTCAAACTTTTTGGAAAAACTTTTTTCGCATGTGGTCGCTGAAAGGCTCAAATAGTTTCCATAACAGCTCCGGCAGACTTATAACTGCAGTATTTGAGCTCTCCAGCTTTCATCATGCCTGAGATAATCCTCCGAAATAGGCCACTTTTTGCGACGACCTTTTTCCCTTCTGCGCATGCTGGTGGACCGCAGTAAGGTGCTGAAAAGCCAGCAAAACAAATATATGTTGTGGACAAAATTGTCTTTGTGGAGCTCCAAAAAAGATTCAATCTTCTTGAAGTTACAGCGATTTGAAAAAAAATTCGCAAGTGCCCAGGAACTTCCTTTACGAGCTAATACTTTGCAGTCAATTTTTTCATAACGGGGGTTTAATGATCTCATGAGGAAAGCTACCTAACTTAGCTCGGCCTTTTGGCAAGTGACATATATATTTTCAGTGAGCTTCAAAATGATTTCAAATAGCTACTTCTAGCTACCGCGCACCATTCCAGCAAGTTATGGGCTTTTTCCTGCGCTAAATTGGCATACCCATCAACTGACTGGCATCACGCATCAGCATCTAATTGCTAGTATACTTGCAGTAAGCTCCTTTTTAGTGTGAAAAGTTTGGATTTGTGTTATTTAGATATCTCAGCACCTTTTGCAGATCTTGATCTACAGGCAGTCTTCCGATGTTCAGTAGTATGCCAATTTTGCGCAGGGAAAAACCCATAACTCGCGTCGAATGGTGCACGCCAGCTAGGAATAGCATATTTGAAATCAGCGTCTGGAGCTGATTCAGAATATATATGTCCCTGGCCAAAAGGCCGAACTAAGCCAGGTAGCTTCCTTTATTAGATGTAAGGGTTTTGAAGGAAAATTTGTTGCAAGAAGTTTAATACATCTTCCAGCCGTCAAACAAGATATCGCGGTTAACAATCGTTTTATTTAGCTAAGCTGGGCAAGTTAGAATGCAGTTGCAAAAACAAAGCTAGTATTGGGAAAGGGAAGTTGTGTTATACAGTGGCCATTGCGTTTTTCTGCTTCGCAGTGGTTTGGATGATGTCACATGGATATCTTCCATCCTACTCGCATTGGAAAGCCTTTTTTTAACGCTTGCATTACAAAAAAAGATGGGAGTCTTGCTTTCTGCATGCCAATAATAGTGAAACCCACCGAATGATGCTGAGCAACATCAATGGACTGCTGAAAGCTATTCATTCCGCATATTCTGCCATAAGAAATCAGGATTTTGGGTGGGAAAATTTTTTTCAACTAGAATGATGAAGATTAAAGCAGCTGCCACTTTTTGGCGTCCGCATGGGAGTAAACTTTTGAATGTTTTATAAACTGAAAGCGATATTTTTCGAATTTGCATGCCAAACAAAGCAATAAATTTGCAGAAAGCTTGTATAGGAACTCGATTTTGGGGGTTAAAAGATGTGTGGACTTTGTTTGACGCACAGTTTTTCAAAGATCAGTGCATCGCTTCCCCTGGTGCTTTTGTATAGTAAGCTCATATGCTTAAAGCATATATTTTGTAAAATTTGAGCGCAGAAGCTCGGCTGGAACTTGCTGTACGAATTTCGTAAGGCAGACTTACACACACTTGAAACACACAAACAATCCTTAGCCCGTTATCGTAAGTAATGATTGTAAGTCTCTCATAAAGAAGGAAATTCAATATATTCTTCAAAGATAAGAGGAGGAAAATTGCTGATTTGCACCAACTATTCTTTGTTAATGCCGCTTGCCTCAGATCTTAATCTATATATAATTCAAGCGAACGCATTCAGGACTCTAGAAGATCTAGCGAGTCAGCACAAAATCAGATACGCACCAATAAGAAGAAGTGCACTAGAGACGCATTTTGAAAGCATGGCCAAGGTTGAAGAGAAACTTTACAAGTAAGTATCCTGCTTCTTCAAATGCAAGGCAAACTCACTTTTCTAGCACCTGGAGAGACATGGCAATGAACGAGAGTGGGTCACAACTTGGTATTCAATCATCAATCTGGGATTACCCTGTTACAGACAAATACACTAAGATGTGGAGGTACAATATCTAGAAATTTTGTTCTGACTACATAAAGCCGCACAGGTTTATGCAAGAGTCTAAGTTTCCCAAAAATATGAGTGAAGCCATTAACCTCATCTTTACCTCAGTGGAAGGATTCAGTTGTCACTTTTTTTGCCAAGCTAAAATCGTTGTTCAAGTCAAATTTAGCGGACGCAGCTGAGGCACGGTATGAAATACTCAGAAACTGTCAATTGCAACAAGTTGGTGAATTTGGTCGCCAACCCTATGCTATCGCTACACAGAAAGGACACGCTCTCAAAGACCAACTTAATACCGCGTAAGTTTTCTTCTCATTTTCTAAAAGTCGGGAACGTTTTTGTTAAGGATTATGAAGCTAACAAGTAGTGGACTTCTCGATGTTCTTGAAGAAAAATGGTGGTACGACAAATTAGAAAAGGTAAGAGTTTTGCAGATTCTACACCTTCCTTTATGCATAAATAGGAACAATCTCGTATTTATAAACAAGCTAAGAAATAGAAACTCTTTCTAACCTGACAAACGATGACTCTCGCAATGCCTACTGGAGACTGTCAAATGCTGAAGCTTGCTTTAGCAGTATCTTGCAGTTTTTGGGGGTATTTTGTCAAATTTTTGGCATTCTTGGTAAAGACAAAAAGTTATTAGGGGTTCGAATTATTTACACAATACCTAGACTCGCATGGTAGAGTTTGTACTAATTGCCCGGTCAGCTAGAATGCAAAAGGTACGAAGAGAATGGCTCGGCACCAGTTGGAACCGGAAAGATTTCACAACGAAGCTCTCTTTAATATTGAATTTTTTACGAAGTCCCCTTAGAACTTTTTTGACTTCCCACCCTTCACCTGTTCAATTCTCACTTGTCTTTTTTGCTTCTGCTGATGCTCACCACAGCCTAAGCGGTGTGACAGTAAAACCTCATGTTCATTAATGCTCTCTACATCATGCACCGGGCGCATTTTTTCCATGGTCTGAGCCTGAGAGTTACCGGCACAGTGCTTACCCCCCCCCCCCCCCAGATTCTCCTTACTCGCTTTCCACTTCTTTTCTAATATAACAAAAAACATGAAAAGAGAAAGGAAAATAGAAAGGCAAGCATAATCGACATAACTTGTTATGTTCTTGGAAACCAATGAAAATTTTTGAAGACGTGAAAGCCTAGAGAAAAATTTGTAAAACCGCTTTTCGCTCGTATGAGAAACTTTTGCAGTGAAGGTACAATGTAAGGAATCATGAGAATCAGAGCAAATGATCAATCTCCGCTCAGCTGGAACCCTGCTGGAACATTCCAGCTAATTAAGAGAAAACTTAAGCACGGCTTTCATTTTCATTCACATAAGTTTTCATAGATTTTTGAGCTGCGCCTCGGGTCCCCTCACGCACATGCACACAACGATTTAGTGTCATACCATCGTGTTTTGGATTCAAACAACGCTTTTCTGGGTAGAGCATGCCGCCTGCATGCCTGCATCAGGGCTCGGCATGAGGTGGCTTTTTCATTTCAAAAACGAAGTCCCCTTACACTTCGACACAAAATTCAACATCAGCTATGACGCGACTATGAAAGGATCAAATCGAATAAAAAAAACATGGAACAAAACATACAAACAACATTTCACAGACAAAAAAGGACTAAAAATATTCGTATTCTCCGAATTGGCGGCATGCTGTATCCGGCGCGCACTCTTGTACGCTTGGAGCAGGCTTACATCTGCCATACAAAATACTTGGAGGACTGTAACTAGTCGAGGAGGAGGAGGTTCAGGGGAACTGAAAGTCTCAGTTGTAGGGTAGAACAAAGTTATGCTGAACATGCGAAAAAATCATGTGAAGGAAGGAAAGATATGACTTTTTCTTTTAACGGCCGGCTGGAAAGACTTAACTCCAAAAAAAGTTTGCCACGCCTTAAGTTCACATTTTTTTCTTTTTCGTACATAGTCCTAAATATTTATTGCTTATCCAAACACCATTTTGGTGTCATTTCATATTCTCTTCGCTGTGAACAAGTCTTTTGTTTATTTCGTAGCAGGTTTGAATTCGAGCGCTTGATCGGCGTTTTGAAACCGGAAGTTTTTGGTTTTTGAAGGAATGGAATCGACACGGCAGGAATGACAATTTGCGTCCTCCATAGAAGATGAAAGGTGACACAAAGGGAGAAGGCGATTGTGTATATGGGAGGGCGGATGGGGTTTCCGTTCAAAAGATATTCCGCTTGCTTTTTGTTCCAAAACGATATCCAGCTTGCCCCGTAAGCCACCTGGCCGAGCCCTGGCCTGCATACCGGCGACAGGCCTGCTTTCGGCTCCTCCGCTCCAAAACCTGCAAAACCATATTCGCCTTGCTTTCCCCACTAAAAACGATATCGGCTTAGCCAGGTTCCAGCTGTGTCGGGCCCGACCATAATTCGCGAGTGACTATAAATAGGTCCCAGCGGGTACGCTGCTAATCGGAGCAGGGTAAATTCCGGATTACGGTCACGGCGCAATTAAAGATTTGGAGATGGATTTCTCGGCCGTGAATGAGTGATTCGCGCTGCAGCTTAGGCATTGCCTTAGATAGAACCCCTCTCCAGTTCCCACGCGAGAAACCAATTTGCGCAAGTTTGCCTGCACACTGCCTCTAACCGTGGCGTGATGGAAGATGATAAGGTATCGAACAGCTGGCGCTTATCACATGTGTCTCCACATTTCAAAGAACTTTCATTATCTGCACTACTCCCCTAATTGTCAGCATCACTTGATTATTTGCTAGTCTACTGAAAAGGTATATTTTGTTCGCATGTAGATAGAAACAAAATTACTCTTTTGCAAGATGAGTACTGGAGTTTAATCTTACTACAACGCTTATATTGCAATCTGTCAGTAATCAAACTATAAATCTCTGACCGTGTATGGACACAATAATGACTTGCATTTAAATTGAAGCTTTTGATTAAATGCCACATAAGTTGCTGCAAAAATCATCACTGTAAAGTGCAAAGCCACGTATAAATGGGTATAAATGGTGATGAAGGTTTTCCTAGATCTGAACTGAAGAAAAAACCTCTGTCAGTTTATAGTACCCAAGGAGATGTTTTTGTAAAAAGGCTTTCATCCACCGTGGTTGTACAGTCGAGTAGATTTAGCAGTAAATATAGTGTGCTTGCACAGAAGGTGAAATGCGGTGAAATTTGCGCGTGAACAAGTAGCCACGTCAGTACCGCGGGTATCTTGCGCGCGCAATTGGCCGGCGTCACAGTCGAAACTATTTCTTCACGCGCCAATTTTACCGCATTTCACCTTCTGTGCAAGCACACTATATTTACCGCTAAATCTACTCGACTGTACACACACTATCGCTGACCTTTGTAAAAAGTCTTACCAAGGATGGATCTGTTTATACAGGTGGCGTTGTAGTTGGCAGTATGACAGACACGTTAAATCGTTCGTGGGAGCTGGTCATACTGCCATCTACTTTGTACTATCTACCTCCGCGGAATGAATGACGCTTTCAGCGGTTTGCAAGCCATTATTCTTCGAAGCTGAGACCGTGCTTGTTTGCACAGCTATACTTCGTTTGTTTCCCAATGGGAAAAGTCAAATACCTAACAAGGGCGGTGTTTTGGTTTTGCATACTTCATGATACTTCATGTATCATCCCACAGTTTTCTATTTGTAGGTTTTTTACATTACCTATCAGATTTAAATAGCCTGTAGCAGGAAAGACTGTAATTGCACAGCCAATTGTTGTCTCAATCACGTTTTTCAAGGTTTCTTTGCATTTTTATCTTTTCCTTTAAATTGTTTTAAGCAATAGACTATTAAAATACATTCCAGAAACAGCAGTTTTGGCACTATGCACTACACTATACATTATCTTTGCTTATAAGATAGCCGAAACTGATATCCTCACCCTCTTCTTTGTCTATTCAATGCAAAGGGTAACACTGCATTAAGAAAAATTTTGTTAAACTAACCAGTTTTTTTTTGACATCAATTTTGTTGTGAGCCACGCAGGTTTGTTATGATGTCTATTTAGTCTAACACGGCAATAATGCCTTCCTTAAAAAATTGGAAAAAAAGGCTTACACTTGTTTTATCATCCCAAATCGTAGGATACCGCAGGATCTATTTCCACTTACAATGCGACAATAGATGTTTAACTGCCACTGATGGTAATAATTAAGTCTGACCAAAATGGTCAGTCAAAGTAGCGGCCTTATTCATAAGTGACAGTATGTTGGGAAGTCATCAAGTCACTAATGATAGAGAGTTGCTCATTCTTTCCTTTTGATTTCGGTTCGCGCGAAAGCATGTAAAAGCTGAAACCAAGACGAAGGCGGTCACCTATGCAGGCGAGGCGTGCGAGGGCGTACGAACTTTAATAATGAGAGATGCTCAAGCACGTCGCAGCCGCGTCGCACATTGAGCCGACCGCCTTCGTCATGGAAGAGCTTTTCTGCAGCTTTGAGCACCTTGCGAACGGCGATTCTTAGTTCGAAATTTAGAATAGTGCAGGTGTTTTAATCAAATTTGTTATCGATCTACTTTCCTGTGTTCCTCTAGCAAACCCGCCATTTCCGCCTTTTACTGACCAAGTGGTCACTAACACGTACGCTCAGTTGTAAACCAGTCTCCCCTATGTAGGTTGCGTGGCAATTTAGACGTTCAATTTTGTAAACAATAGCAAACTTAGCACAGTCTCCCGCCTTTCCGTAGGGGCAAAAATAGCGCAATTCATCGTAACACAAGCTTTGCCATATCAACTACGCACTAGATGTCGATAAATGTTACTTCAAGAGATGTTCTTGTGTTATACAATCTTGGTATGCGTGCTTTACCTTGTCGTGAATTGGTAGACATAAGCATATCCTGACGCCGGCTTGGCTCTAGCAAAGCCGTACTTCTGTAAGGTTTAGACTTTGACGGAAAGTAGTCATTAGAGGCTGCTACTTCATTCGCGAGTTGTGACCATTCCACATTCCTCATTTTTAGCCCATGAGATTACCAAAATCCATTTCTCTGACAACACCCTTTATCGGAGCACAGATGGAAGGATTTCCTTTTTAAATGCAAGCGTTTAGACCACCTATTAATGCTCGATAAAGAAGCTGGAATTAATGATAAGTTTCTCAGCAGACTTGAGTTTGGCAACCCATGCTGCTCCTTATTTCACAGCCTCGTGAAGACGCATAAGCTTCCTGTGTGATACGCACTTCGTATCGGCTTTGGTCTATGAAACTTAAACAATTATTAGCTGTACAATTGGACCAACCGACAAGATTCATGGTTGCTGAGTAAAACTGTCACCCAGTTTTTCGACAAAACATCGGACCATTTGAGAACGTCAGACATTCTCTTGATCAGTTGCACCATGCTCAATTAGTTCAGCGCTGTGCAATATAGTCATTCGATTTAGCGTCAGTATACACAAACGTCTCCAATAGTGACACTTTACAAGCTCTTTCTGAGTTGTTCGACGCACACGGTAATACCATTTCGATGTATGGACTCAGTAAAGCGCGCATAATGGATCGAGGAATGTCTGAATTAATCTGTAAATGGTTGAGTACGTACTACTCACAGTTAGGAGGGTTGCTAATAGGCCGAAGATTGGGATCTGCGCTTGCCATCAATATCATGCCAGAATAGAAAGATCAGTGCTTTGTGTATTGCCGCTATATCATTTTCATTTTCATTTTCATTTTCATTAAATACGCTCAAGGCGTACCATAAAAAACAGAAACAAACAGTGTAATTGTTAGTTTTACACAAAGCACGAATAACAACAGAACATCATATGCTTCAGGCCCAGACTTCATAAAACTAAAGAATAACGACTTAGCTTGCAAGAAGACTGCTGGATATTACGAATGTCAATGATGAGTTATATCCACAGAGATGGAACCCATGCCCCCGCGTTAGCCAGCAAACGATCTTAAAGTATTCAAACAAGCACGCGACGGCGGGTACATACCCACCGGCCTGCCGGGGATAGCCCAAAACTCCATGAGCATTGCCATATGTGCAAAACAGAATATCGATGATTGTTGTATTACAATGTCAACACGGTTCGAAATAGACGATGTTTTTGAATATTGAACCAACAATCACAGTACATAAGTTGTCCGCGAAACGCTGCCTTACCTATCTTAACATCCAGTTAATGATAAATAATGGTGATACGAGTAAAATAGCATTGCAAGGAGAGTTTCAAGAATATCATTCTACACGCTAAATCAGCGCATCCGATCGCCGTAAAACGAGCAGTATTGCGGAACATGTATAAGACAATAAAGTGTGCAGTGTTGAGAGCGAACAACAGCAATCCCTCAAACTGCCAAACGAGGTAGCAGCCTCTAACGCCTACTTCCTATCAAAGTTTAAACCTTCTGGTAGTACGGCAATTCCTTAAAGCAATCAAACCGGCCCTGGAATACCATACCCTTACGTCCACCATTCATTTTCGATAAGATGCACAAGCTCTGGGGCAAGTTGTTATCCTCATAACCCTCGAAGCAAATCAAGAGACAGCTATGCGTAATCGTTTATATGACACCTTGTACTACGATGAACTGGGTTATTTGGTTTTTACGGAAAGACGGGAGACCGTGCTAAGCTTGGCATTGTCAATTGAATGTCTAAATTGCCACATAACCTACAGTTCTTATCAAATGCAGTGTTTGGAGCATCGGCACCACCGCGAGTGAGGGAAAGGGGACTCAGTCGATTGGATGTGATTAGAGAGCATGTTTGCGGAAGAGGTGCAGAGTACCGCGTGGGAGTGTATATGCTGGTGCACTCGACACTGCAATTGATATGCCCTGTACATAGGGGAGACTGGCCGACAATTGAGCGTACGTGTTAATGACCATTTGGCCAGTAAAAGGCGTGAAGCATGGCAAGTTGGCTAGGGAAACATAGGAAAGTAGATTGATAACGATAATGACCACAACGTCAGGGCCCGTAGTAATCCTCCCAAAGTCGTCACAACGTAAAGAAGGCGAGGTCGGACCGCCCAACACGGGTCACAACTTGGGCACGACGGGTGCGTTGATCGCGGCAAAAGTTGCGCACTTGCCCGACGCCGAACCGCAATGAACAACGCGAGCAACGCGCGCAGCCACTGCGCTATATTGTTAACAACTCTACAAACTATGCCGGTGTCGGTGGGTAAGCTACAAGGTAAGCTACAAGTGCAGCCACAGTTCTGCAAAATTCTGACGTCCGGTAGGTATATGGTACGAGGGGAAAATTAAAAACAAAATTGGCTGAAACTTTGCGTAGATGGGTTATCTGACATGCTGATCACGAAAACGATATTGGTTTTGCGTGGTAGGAGCTTTTTGCAAGCCTACGGTAGGTGTACGGCATGGGTTTCACGCTAAACAAGAAAAGAGGTTTTAATCTGATGAATAATTATGATATTCATATTCGGCAGGGCAAATAACCCCATCATGCAAAGTTTTGGCAAATTCTGAGACTTCGACTCCTAGTGATTGACGCTTGTCCCTAAGCAACTTTGCGTACCGCGGCTCGTTTGACTTTGTGAAAGCGCAAATCTTGAGTTGTCTTTAAAATTCATTTCTTGCTCACTACGCCAGGTGCGTCAACTTCTAGCAACATTTCATGCACACTTTCGGATTGTTATGCATGATCTAAGTTGAGAATGGCTTCATTTTCACTTGAAACCCCATAAATCCTCAAATTTCACCAGTTTCCGAAAAACTCAGATTATTTTCATTTTGTTAACAGAGAACGAGCGGCTTGTGCCAGTCTATAGCTCACTTGGAAGTCTACACAATGTCAAAATTTGAGCGCCAATATCAAAAAGCGAGAAGTTACGGACTCAGTTGTAAAAGTTATTGTTAGTAATAAGCCTAATAAATCATTGAAAATGTATTGATAAGTGAACGTTGCAAGAAAATCACCAGTTTTTTTTTGGCAAAGCTGTGTCATTCTGTTAACCAAGCGCCAAATTGTTTCCTTACCCAGATAAAAGGAAAGCAATCGGCACACAGCTAACGATTGGCAGAAAAGACAAAATACTCGATCAAAACCGTAAGCTGTAAAAAAGTATTGAAATAAGGCATGCAAAAGAAAATCGAACAAATCAGATGCCTTTCGAAATTTGAGCTCAAACCGTTAGAAGTAAGAAAAACCTAAGTTCAGATACCTTCTAATGGAAAACAACTCACCTTGCTGAGATTTTGAAGTAGATTACAGCTTCAGCGAGAAGTAATAATTGCATTGTGCCTGACCGGGCCACCACCCCGGACGTACTCGACCGCTAGTCATGTGTAGGCGCCACGACCTCTCTGTGTTTCCAGTCAAGACCCACTTCCCGACTGTCAGCATGACGGGCACGCTGGTGCTGCCATGTCGCGCCGGTCGCGTTGCCGCGGCCGCCGCGACAAGGCACCGGGCATATGCCTCCGTCACGTCGCCTAATGCTTATTATGGGGCTGCACCAAAAGGGCATGAGAGGGGCAGTTGTCGCGCTCCGACCGAGTCTCGCAACTCAAGGGGTTTACTATAGGCCCAAGCGCGCTATTTTAGAATCGCTTTTCGCACAGTGGTCAGCAGCATACATTCTTTGGCGCGAACCAAAATCAAAAGAAAAGAATGAGCAATTCACTATCACTGGTGACTCAATGCTTCCTATCATACTGTCATTTATAGACACGGCCTCTACACAGCACATTTACGACAAGGCCGATTTTCCGATGACTGCCATTTCAGATCAGAACATATCTCGCAAATTGAGTTTGCTTGATATTCTCCGGTCACTGATGGGTCTTGTGGTTTAAAATACTAAACCTTTGAGAAGTACTCCAGGTGTAACAGGTGTTTATAGAATCACACAGAAGTTTACTCAATTTTACAAACTTGGCTGATCGTTGGGACCATTCTATGTTGTGCAAAAACCTTGAGTGAAAAGCGATATTACGGAAAGCGATTATACGCAAGTACGTGTTGTGTAGCCAAAGGTTTGATGCCACATTTTTGCTTAGATGTTTCTGGAAAAAGTCATCTTTATTGAAGGCTTCATTTCGGAAAACTTGCTGCAATCATAAACTCGCTTGATACTTCTTTCCGAACTAATCGCGGGTGCGTCGCAGGCGATTATTAGCGTTGATAAAATTCGTTGCACTACTAAGCATTGCTTTTAGTTCCGTATGCCTATAATGCCGTAAAGAAAGCTCCCAGGCACTTGCGAAAAATTTTTCAAATCGCTGTAATTTAAAGCAGATTGATCCTTTCTCAGAGCTGCAAATTTCTTTGCAAAGACAATCTCATTACAACAAACATTTGTAATGTTAGATTTTCAGCGTCTCTTTGCGGTCCACTAGCATGCGCCAAAGGGAAAAAAGTTCGGAGCGAAAAATGACTTGTTTGTGCAGGATTATCTCAGGCATGATAAGAGCTGGAGAGCCCAGATGCTGTAGTTATATAGGCAGGCGCTATACTCCTCGAGGAGTATAGCATGGCAACGATCGATACACATCAAATACGTGTAAAACCGGCGATTTTTGTCGCCGATATCGACGATCGTCAATCGCTACGACTGGCGATCGCCACTCGCCGATACCGGCGACATAAATACCTATTGATCGCAAACAAGTTACCACACGTCAAATCGATCCAACGATCGATACACATCAAAACGGTGTAAAACCGGCGATTTTTGTCGCCGATATTGGCGTATACATATCAGAAGCGTAGTCGCCGAAAACTGGCAATCGCCAATCGTCAATGTTGGCGATTGCCAGTAGTCAATATTGAAGTTTTTCACCTTCCTTTTTCTGAGCTTTCTTATTTTTCTAGTGTCTTGCTTTGTTTTCTGTTCTTTAGTACGTTGATTGTCATTTGCGTCTGTAATTCGCATCATTAGGAAGTTTTGGAGACTCTAAAGAGCCTGATAATGTATTCTTGGGCAAAGTCGTGATATGCAAATTCTCGTGGTATTGTGGCTATTCTTTTAATATTTTCCAGCTCTTTCAGAGCATCAACGACATTCGCGGGTCAAGATTCATCTCCTTAAAATAATTCTCAGCTTAAGTGGGCAGTTCGGAAAGGGAACAACCTACGGAGTCACCCACTATTGTAAAACACAGAAAATGAGAAATCTTGCAAAATTCAGTTATATAGCTTTCTTCCAGATTGACTTGTCAGTTAACACAGGAAGGCAGCGCTGTTGCTAACTTATCCGCAAACCGCTACTAATTTTTACAATCCGACGTCGATGTTATCTACGCAATGCGACATCGAGTACTGGCGATCGCTTACGTTAGCGACTGGCGATCGTACAGTAGTAGCGATTGGCGGTCGCCAGATTTCGCCGACTACAAGTCGGATGCAAGTGGTGTTCCAAACACAGTTCTTCAAATGCAAGCAGAAATGAGTCAACATAAACATCCGGTTGAAAATATTCTGCAGCAAAATGCCTTTCATTTCTGAAGCTTATATATTTTATCGAGAAATACTAATCATTTGAGGGTATCTTAAGGTGGTTTGTACGGAAAGTAGCGGCAAAGACGGGATGACCGTTCGAGATATCGGAGGTGTATTCATCATCATTCTAGCAGCTATTATTTTATCGGCAATCATTCTCACGATTGAATACACCTATTACAGGTTGCTGAAGCTCTTTTCATAGCTTTTCGAGTAAAGTAGAATTTTTAGGAGAAACAACGCAACGACAGTTGGACATCAGGATATCAAAGAGAACTAATGGGACAGACGTATTATATGCCAGTTGCAAAAAATAAGCTGCACCCACATTTTTGTCTGATGGCGTGCGCACAGTACCAGTGCGACCGCAGGGATGTTGGCGTCAATTTAGATAAAACGATTAGCATTTGAAAATTTCTGAAAGCATAGAAGTGTGAAGATAAAACTTCCGTTGCAGGAAAAGCGTTGCGAGCGTACAAGTCTACGTGAACTGGCTCAAAGATCTGCAATTTATATACAGCTCTCAGCAAACAGTCTGTAGTTATATTGTACAATGAACTGCAAGGGAATATGTTGTGACAATTAGCAATTTGGACCATAGGTGCGATAGGGGAGCAGGGTCCCCTCTAGGTGAAGGGGGTTTTGGCTATTTCTGATTCAGAAAAGCGAAGGGGGTAATTGAATCTGGGATGAGTGCTGACCAAGCTTACATGTCTAACGGGAGCATTTTATGCAATCACTTTACGCTCCATTCCCGAGAGAAAGAGGAGGACTATGAAAAAAGAGACGGTCTACGTTTACTGGCAAGGTCTTGCTCTGTGCTACTGTTAGAAAATCAGGCACCTTCATTCATTCTTCACGCAGGAAATTCTTGACAAAAACATGTTTTTAACTAAAATGCCATGTATTTCTGAGTAGAGGGGAGCTAGAGAAAAAGAGACGGTCTACGTCGAATCCTTGTTTCGTGAGCTTTCTAATGGTATAAAGGTTGTAAGGTGAAAAAACTCGTGGTTTTCAATTTCAATATTAACTTGCACCACCCTGCTCCGGCTTTCTGTGGGTAGCCGGAGCAAGACTTTTATGGTCTGGGAAAGCTTTCTACACCAACATTTTATATACCATTCGATAGCTAAGAACACAAGGAATCGACCTAGACTGTCTCTTTTTTCATAGCTTTTCTGTGAAGCAAGATACGAGCAGTTTTATCTAGTTACAATATCAGTCAATTCTGGATAATTATCTTTCAAATAAAGAAGATTTTTTCGAACTTTTATATATGATTCGAAAGCTTGAGAAACGAGTAATCTAACTGCTCTCTTATTTGTTATTTATCTCTCTTTGAGAGGAGATATGGTACGATTCTTGTCAGTAAACATGTATCCATCACTAGCTAGTCCAGATTTTTTACTCTTGCTCCACTCTTTCTTGCGACAGCGTGCATTCATTTTTATAATGTGAATTATTCAAAGAATCAGACATTCTTTTTTTTTCAACAAAATGCTGACAAAAAGTGCCGTTGTAACAGCTGTTTGATTCTGCCGTTATGCCTTGATTCAGGTCTCAACCTCAAGTGGAAGGGGTCAGCGAGATGCCGGCTCTAAAGTGAAGGGGGTCAGTGAAATTTCTCCACCTATCGCATCTATGATTTGGACCGTCATATTGCTAAACATATGAAATTTATTTGACTACTCTCCGGCTAGCGACTCAAAGCCTCAAAAACACATTTTCTTGACATGACTTGACAAGCCAAGCGCAGAAATGCACACTCACTTTACCATTTTGAAGATAACGTGAATGTCTTTCGTTTTTTTTTCAGACAGACATTTTGCTGCCAACACATTTGTTGGGTAGGAAATTCACAGATTAGCCGAGGTTTTGATTTTGTCTTGACAAGTTTAAAAATGATCGCATTATTCGCAGTATCAGACACTTTACACTCCTGTAACCAGTCAATTTGGTTTATTTCAACCTCCCATGTTATATTCCAGACAAGTATATACTTTCCTCTACACGTCGCTATGAAAACCACTCTTTTGAAATTGACAAAAAATGACGAACAAGTGATAGCACAGAGAAGCACAACAGCTTTTTGTCTATGCACCGTGGTGGATATCCGTCTTCCCAAATCAGCTGACGTTATGAGAACTTGCGAAGTCTCCAACGGGCATACAGCAAGTATCAATCTTGAGACAAATCTCTTTAAACCTTGCTCGTCTTTGAAAAAGGAATAGTTATACTTCTTCGACGTTTAGTCAAGTGGGTAAATGAATACGAATCAACCGGCATTACATCAAAGCTCGAGACCGGCTGATGACAAGATTTTTGCAGCGACGCCGGACAATGTTTGATAACCGCCACTGTCGAGAATCAATGATGATTGTTTTCAAACATTTCGCCTGACATTTGGATGAATAAAAAAATCACCAAAGTTCCAAGATCTCCCTTCTGTAAATCTGGGCATATTAAAATACTAAGCTTTATCATGTTATTCCACATCTAAGTTTTTACGGTGGTACACCTTATCAACTTAAAGCGTTTCGTCTAAATCGTCGTCTTTGGAGATCTGAAAGTAAATTGCAGTATTCTTTTATCCACAAAGCGAAACTGCCAAACGCCATTCCCGGGCATAGCATTGTCCTTGTCTCATACGCAACGTACTGACAATGTTTGATAAGGGACAAGGGAAGGAAACTTGGTCGAAGTGGAGTTTCCATATGAGATACGCACCTGATTACTTTGACACGCTCTATGCAATCAATCCTTTCAGCACAATAAACCTATGCTAGTTATTACTCCTTTCAAAAGGAACGGCTTCAATACCTGCTTTTATCTTAACCGAATCATTGCATTTTTGCTTCAAAAAAATCCCATAACTCCCCTCCCAGAGGCGCTTTGCAGGTACCCAAAAAGGTTTGGAATCAGCGTTCCATGCCGTATAAAACTGTAAATATTTCATTTGGAGAAACCACTTCGACCGAGTAATATTCTATTGTGAGATACATGCAGATGAAGAAAACGAACCTTGGGTTTATCGTGATGTTAGTAAAAAGTTAGTTGGCAGCCCCACAACAGAATCGGACGATATTGGAACTACTTAGCATTGTGTCCTCATAGGTGCAGGCCCAGCTCGAATGTCGACAAGAAAGACAAGAGGTCGGTTGTTATAGATAAGTATTCATTTTTGCAATTCATGACAGTATCTTTAGTGGAATGTGGCTTCCATATCTTTCTAGCAGAAATTCTGTTTCGTGCGAGAAGACCGTATGCTTTATCTCAGCTAGCCCCAGTCTTATGAGTCAAACTGAGGTGTTAGTTTTTGCTTAACCTTACTGTACTGCCGCTATCTGCTGCATTATAACAGTAGCATTAAAACAGTTATAACAGTAGATTTGAAACAGACGAATGTTCTCGCAATATATTAAGCTCAGAAGAGAAAACCCTCAAAATAAACGGCTTTCTTATCTCAAATTCAGATAAATACCATTTGATTCAACCGGCTTGACTTCGAAAAGGCGGCGCTCCGTAACCCAATTGAGGCTAGCTAGTAACCAGAGAGCAACCGCGCTAGAGAGACACAGGTGCGTCCCGGGCGCGAGCGGCCTTAATCACGTCACAAAGCCCTGCCTTGCCGAAGCCAAGCCAGTTGAATCAAAGTTCTAATCTGACAGTATCGTTCGCGTAAATTGATAGTGTAAGTAGGTCTCAAAGAACATCTTGTGTACGCCAACTCAGCACATCAAAAGCAGTCAGAGAATTCATCATTCCCAATATGTTTAAACCTGCCGCTTCGATATGTACGGGTGAAAAAAATCCATTCTATAAGCTTGGCTATTGATATTGCACAAAGTAATGCTACATGTCTCCACCATACTGCGGCCGCAGGCGTGTGAACGGTAGTCACTTTACGAGAAACGATGGCAGGAAAATTCCTTCCTGCTTACCATTCTTCTTTGAAGAGATAGTATGGCGATCAAGCGATGCATACCGCAAGGATCAACTGCAGAATGTTGCAATGCTCGTGAACGCTTCTGAGAACTAGATCAAGAAGCAGTTGGTTAGAAGTAGACTTTATGAAGTAAAATGTGTGTCCGGAAAATATAAGGCTTTTTTTTGCGGATCAGTAGGTGATTGCACAAAGTCAGGAGTTGTGTACCAGCTCCAATACTTGCGCTTGTGAATGCGATTCATGTAGGAGAAAAAGGTGGAGCGATTCACCTTAAGAGTCAGGAGGCACTTGGCGATAGGAGACGCAAGAAACTAGCGTCACCGTTGGGAAGATTCAAGGCTGAGAAACACAGTCGAGGTAGATTGACGTAAAGTGTAGATCCTATCATGAAAGACGGAGATTTCTGCAATAAAGGTTATGGAAGCCGCATGGACTTCTTCGAAAATCTTGGCATGAACAGCAAAAGTGAATGTTTGTCTACAACGACCAACCTCTTGCCTGTGTTGTCGATATGCAAGCAGCAGCCTGCACATATAAAGATATCACATGGTGACAGTGGCGTACCCAGGATTTCGGCTCGGGGGGGGGGGGGCGCGACAAAAAATTTTTTCTAAAGAAGGTGCGTGTCGTTAGCCACGCACTCCGAAAAAATTTTGGGGGTGCTTCCCAAAATATTTTTGGGTCCCCGACCCCTAAAATCTGGAAAAAGGGGGCGTGGCGTCAGCCACGCCCCAGAAAAAAATTTTTTTACAAGGCTATTTTGAATTTTTAAAAATTTTTAAAAATTATTTTAATTATTTACAAAAATAAACAAGTCACTTACACATTTTTATAACCCATATAAGTAACTTTCAAAAATTTCGCGACCCATTCTCGGGGGGGGGGGCGCCCCCCCCCCCCGGTACGCTACTGCATGGTGAGTATTTCTCAGTGTGGTCTTCTACTATTGTGCAGCTACTAATTGGCTCTCTGTCAATATCCAAAGTTTGTTTTTTCTTCATGAATATGTTTCTCAGTACGTTGTGCATGAAACAACGTCTGGGCAACGCTGTTGCGCTCCGTGGATGAGAGAAGACTGCAATTTGCTTCAAGACCTTCTAAGACGACGACTTATCGGAGCACGTCGCATCAATAAAATATACCATCATAAAGAGCTGGATCTGGCATATAAAATTGAAGTCAAAAATACAATATTTTCCATCTTCTCAAAAGTCGGGGCGAACCCTGCAAAAAAAGACAAAGATAACCTGTGAATCTGCTTCTCTATACGCTCTGGACAGCAGTCGCACCTTCTTTCGTATTATGTATTGTAATATTTCCGAGTTAATAGTTAG